CCCCCCCCCCCCACACCACACACACACACACCAAAACAACACTCGTGTTTGTGTGTTTGAGTAAAGAGAAGCAAATGGCGGGGCATTTAGTGCTGGGCAAGACAAAACAACTGAGTGAAAGAATAGAAGCTGGGCATACCAGTGAAGTCTGCAAATCGGCTGAGCGCTCATATGACTTTAGCAGTTGCGAGCGCCGTAAAACCTTATACTATACATACATACATACATACATACATACAAATCGGCTGAGAAGACAAACACAACAGTAGAAATAATAATTTATATAATTGACTGGGGACTGCGTGTTGTTGCACTACACAGCGGGCATATCCGGGGCGCTCATTGTGTCCGCGTCAGAGGAACGTACAGACAGGACAATGCTGTGTTCACGTGATTTTTGTACATCACAAGTGTCATCCGGTTCACAAACAGATCTTTTCAAAGGTTTCAGTTTCAGCAAGAGTATACAACACTTGCATCACAATTAATTTGTTTGAGTAAAGAGACGCACATCGACACAACAACGCTCATTTTGGTGCTGGGGAAAAAGTAAGACAGACAGACAGAGACAACAGGGGGAAAGTGAAGAAGCAAGACCGACCAGTGGTGCCCTCAAGCCACCCGCTAGGACAAAAGTGATGAAGACGAGAGGAGTTACTAAAAAGTAACAAACACAGAAAAGTAGGACGAGAGATGAGGAAAATAGATGGCAGGTAGGAAAAAAGGAGCATGTCACACCAAAGCACCCACCAACCGCCCACAACAACGGTGTGTTCACACGATTTTTTGTAGACGATAAGTACCACCCGTGTGATAAATACAAACCGATCTTTACAAAGTTGGGGAAACTAGCCTAGTGGTGGAAGTACACAAGGCAGGAACGATAGACTAAAGTAAAGACAATACTACAGTCTCATATGAGCGTATTATAATAATTATAGTAATGTGTTTCAATCAAGGTGCAGAGGGGTTGCCCCTTCAGCCAGAATGCTGCATGTTTGTTTTCATTTCTCCAAATAGTCCCCACTCCCAACACAAACAAGCAACAAAGAAAAACAATAAGAATAACCAAACAATAAAGAAATCTAAAAACCCTTCAGATGTAGGGGGAAGGGGAGAGAGAGAGAGAGAGAGAGAGAGAGAGAGAGAGAGAGAGAGAGAGAGAGAGAGAGAGAGAGAGAGAGAGAGAG